TTAACATTTTATATGTTTTTGTGCCCCCCCCCCCTTTTTTTTTTTCATGCAAAAATAACAAATTACTGTTATTACTGCTACTACTACTACTACTACTACTACTACTAATAATAATAATAATAATATTAATATTAATAATAATAATAATAATAATAATAATAATAATAATAATAGAGGTAAATATCGAATAGTTTGTGGAATCAGTTGGATCTTGTGTCTAAGTAGCCGTTTTGAAATATTAAGATATCATTTCTTCCAATGCGCGTGTAATTAAATAATATCAATAAAATTAATTGTGAGTTTGGAAAGCAACGTAGAAAGTTTAATCTATACTTAAGAACTTATTTTAATAGATTGTATGGGCTTTCGCGTGGAAGAAAAAGCAAAAAATTTAATCATTTTGAATGCTGGGTGGAATTAAGGAATCCATATTACAAGATAAATTCAGCCTCATATTCCGAATTATAGTTGTAGGTGAAGCGGTCATTGATGAAAATGATTATTGAAATTACTTCTCGGCCAAGGACAATATACGCTGGCCGGTTTATTCTGCTTATTAACTAAGACTTTTTACAAAATCCGTCTGCATAATTTATATAATAATCTTCGGGGACGTGTATTTGAATTTTTGAATTTTCGCTGCGACTTGTTTATATATATACATATAAACAAGGGGTATTATATGTATATATATATATATATATATATATATATATATATATATATATATAATACCCCTCACGCGACGCAAATGACGCGAACTTCTCCAATGTATATCAATATTAAGAATGCATTTAATAAATTAAATTTTATATTTGTCCGGTGGCGCGGCTGTCTAATAATTAAGATCATGATTATAAATGCGAGGATGTATTACTTATAATATACAGACTACGATCATAAGTACAGTAATCTTGTGGAAACTTTATACGACTAAGTAGGCGCTTACTTATGAAAATATGTTTTAACCAGAAGTAAGGGGAGTTGAGCTGTCGAGACAAGACTCCTTTACATCCAAGCATAAAATATTAAATTTATTAATTATTTTTTTATTCTATCGAATTATGTTAGCTTTAGATCATTTCAGTTCCTAGATATCGAGTATTAATCGATAATGTAGTTTATCTAGGCCCTGCGCATTAATCTGCGCAATAACCGTGTAAGAATATTTAATAATTATTTTTGCTTACCACACTCGTAATTCAATAATATAATTTAAAAAGGCAATAAATTTTGTAATATAAGTAAATGAAACGAGCCAATTTCTTTCTTTATTTTTGCCTTTGTTTTCCTGCTTTCGAATTGTTGCGGAAAATTTAAAGAAATTTTTATCCAAGGTAAACAACATTAACATTAATGTTCTATAGAAGGCAGGAGTATCGTAAAAGTTCAAATTTACGATAATAAGAGCGCGCAGTTTCATAATTTCTCATACCACTAATAACGCTAAAGATAAAGTATTACTTTATTTATTTACATTGAATGATCTATTTTTATGTTGATGAGATTAGTATATCAATTATTATTTATTTACTTTTTGTAGCTCGGTGAGTAAATACATTGTCAATAGTGTAGTATCTTGAAAAATTTATTAATACATTAATTGGAAATGCCGGGCATTACATTGAATTGCACAAATTTATTTAATGCCAATAAACTGTTAAGTAACATTTATTATTATTACTCGAGTTAAAATATTTATGATTGAATTATATTTATTTACTATTGAATAATTAATTGCTTGCGGTGACTAGTGTCGTTATTATTAAATTACAAAATAATATTTATGCCCTCTTTTATTTATACTGATTATTTGCATCCTGTGTTTTGTATTAAAATTTTCTCTATCAATACTCATACTTATTATTAATTTTCCGAATCAGTTGCTAGCCGAAAACCATTAGTAAAACGCAATAATAAAGATAAAAATAATATCGAAAATTATACTAGTCATATTGTAATGTGAACAAATAATTGTTGTATACCGTTGTAAAAATGTAATTTTTAGGTCAGATGGTATAATCTTACAACTATATTAACATTATTAATGATATAATTGAAGATTTATATACTTTAAGTCGATTCATGGGGCGATCGATAATCGAATAGTAATGCGAATAAAAAATGTACATAACGATCACATTATTAATACTTTAAATTTCGTTTCATTATATTCTATTAAAAATATATCGACATTTTTACAGATTAAAATGATCGAAAAAAACTTTCCCATATTTTCTATCTACCTTTTAGAATCATGAGTAAGTTTCTTTTTACATGTTATACATATTCGTTATTATTATAAAGCATATGACTGCAATTTTCTTTATATTATTATGGTTTTCTTTATAAGATACTTTTTATAGTATTTTTTTTTATATACGATGGAATCAAAAATTTTTTCTCGACAATACTAACGCTTTATCTATGTCCTCACATTTGCTCTATATTTTGAAATATAACTTACGAAAAATTACCAAAGATTCAAAAAATAAAATTAATTTTATACAAATTGTTAGTAAAAAAAGTAAAAAAAAAAAAAGTAAAAAGAGTAAAGAGAGTAAAAAGAGCGAAAAGAGTAAAAAAAAGTAAAAAAAAAAAGTAAAAAGAGTAAAGAGAGTAAAAAGAGCGAAAAGAGTAAAAAAAAGTAAAAAAAAAAAGTAAAAAGAGTAAAGAGAGTAAAAAGAGCGAAAAGAGTAAAAAGAGTAAAAAAAAGTAAAAAGAGTAAAGAGAGTGAAAAGAGTGAAAAGAGTAAAAAAAGTAAAAAAAGTAAAAAGAGTAAAAAAAAAAAAAAAAAAAAAATTGTTGTAATTTTTACAATATAATATGTATCTTTGAACTATGATGAATGTGTGAAATATCATTATCTTTGTGTTTGTAAGCGTTCGTAAATAATGTAATCTATACATTCTAATATGAATGAAAAATGAGTAGAATTTTCAAGACATGGGAATTTAAAATAATTAATGATTTTTATAAAATATATTAACTAATAAAATTAAATAATATAAAAAATTGCGAAATATCTATATAATGTTAGGCGACTAACTTGACTAACTTCGTCGCACTGAAGATTCTTAAAAAAATTTTTTCACCGTGACAATATTGGAATATCTCATTTCACTGTAATAACATATTCATTAATAATTTTTCTTCCTTAAATAATGCAGAATATATTTACAATAAATCCATTTTTCAATTAGATTTATTTAAATTTATAAGAATTTTTTCACTCTAAGTTATTACTACTTTCCCCATAATATACGCCAATCTTTTTTGTACTTTAAATATATTGTACACGACTATAGATCATTTAAGTAAAAATAACATTTGCATTTTGAATATGATAAATAAGGATACTTATGTAAAATAATAGGGGGATGCAACCTGTAAAACTCAAGAAAATAAAACTACAATTATTAAGATTACTATGTTACTGCAGACTCTTTAATATTTATATTCTATTTTTAACTTTATATATTAACTATTTATAACTTAAGCATTATATGCATATAGAAGAAAACTTTTGCCGTGAAGAAAAATTAAGTTTTTTTCAACTATTAAGTAAAAGACAGTCTATTTAATTTAAAAAGCTGTAAATTGTTATACGAAGAAATAATAATGGTAAATTTTATATATTTACTAAATTATTTAATTTACTACAACTTTGATGACATTTTTAAGAATCTGCACATAAAGAAATATTAAAATATTAAGTAAACAATTATGGAACACAATCGATTAAATTCCATCGAAAGTTGCAGTAATATACAGTCATTGTTAAAAGACATAATATGAAGAGTCAATTATTATTTTATATTTGAATTGAATTAAATGTGTAACCACAATTGTTTAATAATTATTAAATATTTCGTTCTTTAATTCACTCAAGATGCAAAATTATTATCTGGTTCATACGATTAAATGTAAATTTAAAAATTTATTTTCTGTTATTGCATGGCTAAGTTAACTTGGCGAATAATATCAACAATTTATAAATAATAAATAGTAATTTCGAAACGACAATCGCCAACCAATGACATATTACGAATGTAAATGTCTGTCTTCGCTGTTAACGTAAAATATTTATTTATTTCTTTAATCTCATAATACGTTGCATTTCAATTTTTGGAGAAGACGAACTTTTTTAGAAGTTATAATTATTATTCGATATTTAATATAACATTTTATTCTGTAATACTTATAAATAATCAAGAATTCTCTTGTAATGAAATTACTACTTTGTAATGATTATTTTGATTTTATGTTAAGTCATAACAAGGTCGAGTAATATTTTGGCAATTTGATTTATTAAACGATTCTCCTTGATAAACCTAATACATACCCGTTCTTTATGCGTATTCATGTGTATATATATATATATATATATATATATACATGTGATAATATATGACAATAATCCGCAGTTGATTTATTTAAAAAAACAGAAGAAAACAAAAAAAAAAAAAAGAAAAAAAAAAGAGGAAAGAAATAGTTACGTTTGAGCAGATTTTTATACTCAGAATTTGTAAAAATTCGATATCTTTTGAAAATAAAAGCTCTCGTTTAAAAAAAAGATTAAATGGGAGATAATTTTCTACTCTCGCTGCTGATTCAGCAAGCACTCAGATTTTCTCACATTCACTGTCGTATACGGTAGCATCTTTGAAAATCAGGTCCCCATCAATAATCACAGCGACGAAATGTTTTAATTATTATCTGCAACGAGATTACTTTGACAGAAAATCCAACGAGTGTTATAAATCACGGTATAGGGCAAAGAAGGGATGGCAGATGGGGTGGGGGGTAACCTCTTTTTATTTTCCATAATTGCATGAAATTCCAATTTTCCTCTCATTAAAGGCCTATCGCCCGTAAACGGGAAGCTCGTCCGAGTCTCTCAGCAAGATCGACGTTAGTTCGTCGATTTTCCCGCGAGAAAGAAATCCGCGCCAAAAGGGGGAATTCAATCCCTCGCTTATAGAGTAGAAAAAGTATGGCGGACGAGACTCGCCATTAGGGCGTCAATCTCGCGGGCGCGATAAATTGCCGCCCTGTCTCGCCTCCGAATCGCCGATAGATGCGCTAATAAAGGGTGACTTTTGCTTCTTCGCAGGCGTTTCCGCCCTTTATCCGATCATCGTGGAGGACAAGTGGAGGGAGATGCTGCCAAGCGAACGAGGAGGAAGGCGCTTTCGCCGCCAAGGGAAACTGCAGGTGGAAGTAGCGGCGCAAGGCTGTGGAGGGACGCGACCGATGGCTTTCCCTCGCTTTTCTTCTGTCCTTGTTCCTTATCGTCACGCGAGCACGACAAGGACTGGCGGCCGCGCCGTTCGCAAGGCTCTAGTCGTGCCTGGACTTGCTTAATTTATATTTTCAGACACGCTTTTTTCTCTCATTCTTCTTTTATTTTCTATTTTTTTTTTCTCCAGCCATTCCCCCCCCCCTTTTTTTTTAAAAATATTGTTTTTAATTGTTTTCAGCGCGGCCGAGTGGCGAAGAGGGCGTAACTCGAATTGCGAGGTATGGATGAAGGTCAAGCGGTTGTTTTCGTTTGGAGCTCGGGACTCTCGATCGACCGATACCCTTTGCTATAAAGTTTTCCATTTTTTAAAGTGACCTTATTCGAGAATACGCGCTCAATCGTTGCAATGGAAGAGAGTGAAGGGAAAAATAATTTCCGCCTGGTATTTTACGATACACGTTTACCAGATTGTAAAATTAGCCATAATGCTAATATCAGAATATTTTTTAAAAATTATATTAGACAAGAATAGTATGTACATTTACTAGATTTTGAAAAATAATTAATAATATACAAACACACACACACACACACACACACACACACACACATATATATATATATATATATATATATATATATATATACACTTGATTTATTTATTAGAGAAAGAAAGGTCGAAAATCCAAGTGCTGTTTGAATGAAGCACCTAAGCGTTTCAACTTTATGCTTCAATTGCTTAAGGGTAAAGAGACTAGCATATATTAGTTAGGACTAGGCAATTTTACTTAAAAAAAAAAAAAAAGAAAAAAAAAATGAAATGCAAATAATTTTTTGCTGTAATGAAGTAAATGCTGAATTTCGAGATACGTTTCTCTGCTATTTACACACGACTGTGACTAAAATGCCAAAAAATCCGACAACAGTGTTGACGGATCCTGCGTTCATACGCATTATACGAGTGCATTATGGGATCGGATATCCTCGTGCGTCCGATATAGAAGGCAATAATCGAAGATTGTCAAATTGCCAAAGAGACGCTTAACTAGCGAGAAATAAATAGAGACGTAATAGCAGATGTGTACGTGTGGGCGGGCGCGCGTGCGTCTTATTGTGTGTGTGTGTGTGTGTGTGTGTGTGTGTGTGCCTTGGTGAGAGAAAGGACGACGATGATGGGTAAAGGGAGATGAAGTCGCGACGAGCGCGAACAAAAAGTTCACTGCCTGGTCCTTGTATCTTAATTGTACCTTGTTGAATATTGTTGAACAGTTACCCTTTCGAGATGCACCGCTTCTCAAAGAGAGAGAGTGAGAGAGAGAGAGAGAGAGAGAGAGAAGGAGTGTGAGAGTGAGAGTGAAAGAGAACGAGGGAGTGGAGAGCATGAGAGAGAACGAGTGACGATAGCGCGCGGAGACGTACGTGGTCACGGATTTAGCAGGTTTCTTCCAGGCTTGTCCATTTGAATTTGTTCTTTTCGATCTCCTTTAAATATTACACATATCATTGTTGCAACCGTTAAATAATCGAGATTTTTCGTAAACTTATCACTCTCTGAACTTTTTCTTTATAAACACTTAATAGTACTACTAATAATAATTGTAATCCTAGGCTTCGTTTTAGCTTGATGTGTTGGACGGCATTACAAAGCCACACAGAACTTATTATAAATAATAATAAAAATAACATATCAGCAAAAAAAGAAAAAAAAAAAAAAAGGAAAGAAAAAAAAAGTAGAAAAAAAAAGAAGAACAAAAAAAACAAAAAATAATCCAGTTCGGTAATAACATTAGCGAACCTTATCTCTAATGTTATTTTATTCATCTTTTAAAGGAGCTCGTTAATCTTGATTATCGCATGAAATATCCTGTTTAATATTCGAATACGTCTGGGCATAAAAATTCATTATATTTGCTCTGCGCTTTATTTTTCATTGTAAGACTATAAAAGTTCATAATTATCGACAAGCCCCGCGACTACAATTTGTACAAGGAAGAATTCAAACGGATAGCCAGCAAATGCCTTTTCACTACGCGCAGCTCATCGTTTACATCGTTTAATGCACTTTACTCTCTTATAGTTACTTTAAATGCGTTTCACTTTTATTTCAATTAATTTTTTGTAAAGCCACATAAGCGCATATGGTGTGGAGGACCAAAGATAACTCGTTCTCCGAGTCTTCCGCGCCCACGGCGGTGCAATCCGAGGTTAGCCTAAAGGGGGCCAAAAGCGGTTTCATCAACTAAATAGAATAATAAAAAGCAAAATGATATATCAAAAAAAAAAAAAAAAAAAAAAAAAAAAAAAAAAAAAAAAAAAAAAAAAAAAATAAATAAATAAAAAAAATTAAAAAAGAAAATTGACTTTTTACAGGTGTAATATGTTGCAATACTAAAAGCAAAAAAAATAAAAAAAAAAACAAAAAACAAAAAAAACAATTAATATAACAATAATAATAAAGAATTGAAGAAATGTATTAATAACGTCAAGGATAATCCGTTTAACGTATGTGCGATGAATATATAATCAATGGTCAGAATAGATGGATATGAGAGATTTTTCCGCCGGCATTATTAGCCAGTTGAAGTCGAACAACGCTAACATATGATCCTTATCTACTTGTCTTTTGATTTTGAATTTTCTCTACAATATAATGTGTAACCCTTCTAGCCTACCCTGCCCCCCCCCCCAACCCCCCTAAAACGATTAATATGCATAATTAAATTATGGAATTCCCTCTTAACTTCGCTGTGTATTGCAACTCGCGGTTACGTAAAAAGCGCGAGAATTAATTATTAAAAGTTACCCAACGGAGCCACAGCATTGTGAAATGTAATGTTTACGGTCAGTTCTCAGTCGTGTCAAATTTAAGAGATTTTCGTTTGAAGAAGAAGAAATTCATTTAGTCGATAATCGAATATTACGAATATTATAAATATTTATGTAAATAATACGCAATGTAAGGTAATCCTCTCGATAGTCTTAATGGATTGACACGATACATGATTATTTTATTTATTTATTATTTTATTATTACTTTTTTTTTTTTTTCTTCAATTACTTTTGACTAAACCGAATAATATCGTTAATTGTACATATTTCACGTGCATTATCAACGGTCTTTGTTGTGCTGGCATTGCGTTCATTGATAATTTATTTTTGTAATTTACCAACATTACAAAGAGAATATAAAATCCGTGTATAGTTGTTTTAAATTTGACATGTCGGGAAACGGATCGATCCTCGAATGCAATGATAATGAACAAAGTTTTGTGTGGAGTGAGCGCGCCAACTTTAACAAACGAGACATCAATTGAATCAGTAGCATTGGAAGACTGATAAATGAAACTGAAATCTATGCTTATGGAAAATGATACGCTAACTAAGTAATATCTAGTCAATAACCAACCAAATAGCCTTTGTAAACACCACGAGGATACTATAATCGTTAATCAATTACAAACGTCCCGAGAAACGAACCTTTGTACTCGTTATTTCATAAGGATGCGGCGTCGTCATTAAAACAAATCCCAAAGAATGAAAAATCATAATGAAATTGTATGATTTTAAATAGAGAGTTTAAATATATTAAATATAATAGTTATGTAAAATGTTTAGAAATGTTAACTCGTTCGTTAAAGAATACGAGCGTAAAAGCAACGACATGTAATTCGCAATAAATGAAATGTTAATTTTCCTCGAGAGCGAGTTTCTTCGAAGATGATTGATATCCAAAAGTATAGAAAAAAAAAAAAAAAAAATGTTTGATAATTTCACCTGTGCCTTATAGCTTTTTGCCTATAGCCAAGCCGTATGGATTCATTAGTTATTTTATGTTTGTAGAAATAGAATAATTTTTATCATCTATTCAACAATAAAATAAAGAAATTATTGAATTTTAAAGTATGTATAGTTTTTTAATTTTTCGATTTTTTTTTTTTTTTTTTTTTTCATGTTTCTTTTCATTAAGTAAAATAGGAATTTAGAGTTGGATTTTAAAAACTTGTACTCACCTATTTGAATATTTATCAATAATTTATCCTTCCTTCTACCTTACTAATTAATTAATATATCACATTCATTAATTACTATTTTACATTCGATTTATAATAATATATTTATTATTTATTATTATTATTATTATTATTATTATTATTATTATTATTATTATTATTATTATTATTATTATTATTATTATTATTATTATCATTCTTGTATAACCGATCGTCATTTAATTGTGCAAAATGTATTGATTAATATATTTCAGATTACACGCTGATATTTTATATTGAAGTAGCATTATTTTTATATTTAACTAGTATTTTTGATGTATTATAAAAATAATTTAATTTTTGGATTATTAAGTATTTGCTCAAAGATTTTATGATATCAGCATATAATAAGATTGCGCGATCATTGACAACAATGTTGATTGCTATGAGTAGAAGATCGATCATTACTTATTATATATTATTATACGATTTGGCGAAAAATCATAAAGAAATCTACATAATATACCTTTTTTGATGCGAAGGAGATAATATTTTTTTATTTATTTATTTTTTGTTCTCAAAATCTAGTATGAAAAATTATATTTAAATGATGCTATTGATTCTCTCATATATTTCTTCATTTTTTTTTTTTTTTGTTTCTATAATAATTACATACTAGCTCGAGCATGTGTCGATGCACTTATATATTTAACATTGCGAAACATAAATGAAAGTCTACAATGATTTTGAACTTTATGATAAATATAAATTTTAAATTACACATTAACTCAATTGATTATACGTTTTTCGGGAGAAAAATTAATTTTAAGAATTTTATCGCTGTTCAAACTGTTCCATGCCAAA